CGCATTAACCCACAGCACCACACCAGGACTCCATAGTGGTAGAGGTTAAACTACAGAGTAGGCAGACATCTGGATCCAGGAAGGACCACTACAAGACGGCTGACATAACAGAAGCATTAGCTGGCAAAGTTAGGAGAGAAAAATAACAGTCAGAAGGAATGGTGCATGGATCACGAGAATGTCAACTCCAAAACAGCAGACTATGGGCCTGATTTGCTCACCACTAGGTCCTGGTGTGGTGCTGCAGGATAAGCACTGGACTCCTAACCACAGTTCAAACCCACCAGTCACTCCTTGGAAACACTCACAGGGTCGCTGAGTCAGAACTGATTTGATGGCACTTAACAACAAAGGATACCAAGTGGAATCCTGATGTGGTATTGTAGGATAAGCAATGGACTACTAACCACAAGGTCAATGGTTCAATCCCACTAGTCACTCCTTGGAAGCAGGGACACTATGAGTAGGATCTGACTCGACGGTACTTAACGACGATAACAGATTCCAAGTAGGAGTCCCTGGGTGGTGTAAACAATTAAGCACTTGGCTACTAAGCAAAAGGTTGGCAGTTCAGGTGCAACCAGAGGCCCCTTGTGAGAAGGCCTCGGCATCTACTTCTGATACGTAGGAGTCATTGCAAACTCTCTGGTGCACAGTGCCACCCGGAAGCACATAAGGTCTCCAAGAGTTGGAATGAACTCAAGGACAACCGGTAGATTCCAAGCACCCAGTAGGTACGGAAAAGAAGCCTAAGTCAAGGATGACAAGGGTCAAGTTCCAAGGACTAGCACTGAGATGACAGTACTAGCGCAGTTCAGCAAAAAAGCAAGAGTGGCCTGTTTTCAGGAATGGCTCTTCTCCATTACTTTTTGCTTCTTTTTAAAACTTTACTTTGGCTTCTAGTCCATGAAACAATTATGTGATGTTGAGATACTAGAATGTACTGTTGACAGTAGCATGAATGGCAGGTCTTCTTCCTTCGAAAGAAGAAAAAGGATGGGTGAGGTTTTTAATTTGGTTTTTGGCAGTGGAGAGAAAATTCAGTCAGACTCTAAACTCAGGTGAGAAGCTATTGGGCCACTTCCAGCAGACATACCAATGACACAGTGGTTTGACTGGACATCCTATAAACCTTAATGATAGAGCTGTTTGGTCTCTGACTGGGTCAGCCTCAGAGGCTTTGCCAAGCTAAAGTTACTCCGCCATCAGCTGGCCACTCAGGTCTCTGGGGGGTTTATGGAGAATTGTTAAATGAGACAGTTGATATTAGAGAGTTATTATATGATATATATAATATGAAGAGTCATATATGAGGCTTGTTACCCTTTTAAATAGTTAAAAGTGGCACAACTATTCAGGAGAAATCCATACGAATACAAGCACATACACAATTTGGTTTTCTGATAAATGTGAAAAGTTAAATAAAAAATGTTAAAAGTTAAATGTTAAAACTTAATCATCTTCTAAAATTAATTACAATCTGATGATCATCCAAGATGCCATTTGAGTGACTATGCTGGCCAGTCCCTCGTAGGCTGTCATTTGAATGGTGAGCATCTTCAAATTTAAATGTCCCAGGTCCCAGAAGTACGAGTTGGAGCACGCTCAAATTTCTTCTTCCAGACACACCTTCTGGGAGCTTGATCTTACATCTTACCTTCCTCCTTCAGTGATATCCACCTGCTGTTAACATCCAACTAACAGATAAAGAGATCTTGTTTCTATAAAATTTCCTTGCAAAAATGAGCTGCTTCACTTCCCCCCCCCCAAAAAAAAAAACATATATATATATATGTTGTTGTTGTTAAGTGCCATCGAGTTGGTTCCAACCCATAGCGACCCTGTACAGGGTGGTTTCTGAGGGTGTAAATCTTTACTGGAGTAGAAAGCCTCATCTTTCTCCCGTGGAGCGGCTGGTAGTTTCGAACCCCTGACCTTAAGGTTCGCAGCCTGATTCGTAACCACTACACTACCAGAGCTCCTATATATATAGATATAAATATAGAGATATAGTAAAAGACCTGCAAAACATTGCATGATGACAATTTTATGTTTCCTTCTAATGCAAACTTCCCAAATTATGCCATCCACAATATACTTACTGAGAGGGAATGCAAGGGTCCACATGTCTTCACAGTTTAATTTACAGACATCTAAATATGTGCAGCAAATTCCACTACTTCAAAACGTTTCCTTTCCTTAAACATATTTACAGTTCAAATTATGTGTTTATTGTTGTTGTTGTTGTTAAGTGCCGTCGAGTCGGTTCCGACCCATAGCGACCCTGTACAGGGTTTCCGAGGGTGTAAATCTTTACGGGAGTAGAAAGCCTCATCTTTCTCCCGTGGAGCGGCTGGTAGTTTCGAACTGCTGACCTTAAGGTTTGCAGCCCGATTCGTAACCACTACGCTACCAGAGCTCCTATGTGTTTATAGCAATCTGTAATATATTATTTCTAAAGATAAACACAGTCATGAAAAAAAAAAAATGGGTAGAGAAAGAGCAGTATACTACTACTGCCACACTCAGTCAATCTCTCCCCTTACACTGTGTTCCAGCAGTGAAAGTCCTAACCTACTGGTGGAAAGTATGAATACATCTCCATGAATAGGCAAAGCACTGACCACTGTGATTCCAGCGTCCATAAAAAGAAGAGCCACCAGCTCCTTTTCCGAGACTGCTTTGAGACTTAGAACTTCCTGAGAACTTCCCCCAACCCAGCTAAGTATAAATCTCAAGACTTCACTACCTGCAGACTTTTTTTCCCTTCTTCCTTTCAAAAACACATTTTAGACTCTGTTGAACACTACTTCTAAAATCCAGAAAATAGCTGCAGTTTCTAAGTACTAGAAATAATGGGCTATAATGGCAAATTTTCCTTTTAATGAAGTGTTTCAACGCTGTGTACATTTATGCTTACAGGCATGAAACCAACAGGGTCTGAAGAATAATTTCAATGGACTATTAGACATTCTGAGCTTTGAAATCACTTCTCTAAGACTGAGTCATTCCCCAACAAAGGCTCTGCTAGAGTCCCTACACTGACATTTTTAAAAGTCTCTAATCATGCTTGGATGTTATTCCAATTACTGTAAACAAGAGTCTATTGCAACGAGACAGCTCACTCTGAAAGCAACCGATTTTGAATGGAACAATTGGCGCATATTGATAAATATTAAAACACGAAAGACTCAGATTTCAGAGAGAAGGTGTCACAGGGAAAGTGCAGTCAAAAGCTTCCTTAAGGAGAAATGTCCATTAATACAAAAAACCAGAGTGGCAGAAGATAGAGCTATTCTTTCTGTCGAGTCATATAACAGTAACATTTCCTAACAAATCCCCACTGAACAGCAAAAAAGTCCTCCTAAACCCAGTACAGCCTTTTAGGCAGGATTCTGTTGAAAACCTTCAGATGAAGTTCTCCCTTTGCCCTGTTTTGCACCAAGATGAACAGTAATGTTTTCTTTTTCTAAAAATAAACAGAGACTCTCTCCCTTTTTTGTGTACAACAAGCCAAAGTTCATAACTGGCTAGGCGAGCCCCATTCCCAGTGGATTAAACCATCATTTGCTAAAGAAAAATACTGATAAGGCCAGGAGATCTATTTCACAGACTGAACAACCAAATAAGTCATCTATTCTGTACAGCTGACCATTTCAATCCTGAGTAACGTTTGGGGACCTGCAAGCACAAACAGAGATACCGACACTGATTTAAAATGTCCATCCGCTGCCCAATTCTACATTGCCTTCAGCTCAAAAGGGAAGGAGAGGATGAAAAATTCACTAAACAACCTCACGGTTACAGTTGTTCTTGAAAGAGAGAGTCCCATTAATTTTAAATGGGCACGTTATTTTAAGAGGGCAAAGAGAAAGGGTAGAAACAGCAGAACTCCCTAACCTAGACAAGGGGTGGCACTGCAGCTACAGACAGCGGGCACCAGGGCTTCTACTTGGCCAGAGCAAGATCTGGAAGTTCAGGTAGGGGTAGCATAGATGTAGGGATGACCTGGAGGCAGTTCCCTTAGGGGGCGCTCACTGGGCGATTTAAGGAAACAAGATCCAGCCTAGAAACTCAGCCTAAAGCAACAAGAAATCAAGTTCCCATTGCCGGAACCAGAGCGGCCAGGGAAGACTCACAGGGCTCGGGAAGCGCCCCCTCTAAGACCGAGAAGGTGAGAGCGGCCGGCGGGGAGCCTTCCTCCGCGAACCAAGCGCGGTTCACACGCACCCCGCCTCACCCATGCGTTCCGTACTGCAGCGTGATTCGTATAAAATTGTCCTCCACCAGACCCTAAGGCGCCACCGACCACCCTCCGCTCCTCAAAGCGGGAGGAGATCTCCACAGGGCTCGGATGGCAAACGCCATAGCCCCGGCATTTTGGGGCGCGTTCCGCCCATCCCCAGGGTCCTGCTGTGGGACTCGGACTGCTCCTCCGAGGGCAGCGTTTCCACCTAGTGTTGGCTACCTTGCCCAAGACCGAGGGAAAATCAAACAAAAGAACTTTTGCAAACTTTCCTCTCAGGGCACTTGCGGTTTTCTTCAATCTCCCATCTCCCCAGAACTTGCATTCAGAAGAGTAGACGAGCAAGCTTGCGGGGAACAGTGTGCCAAGGAAGGAACCCAATGTTTCCAGTTCATACCTAGGTCTTGGGGAGAGCGCGAAGCGAACCCGTTTCCTCGCGGGTCCTACTCGAGCTCTAGTCTCCCCGCCTCGGTCCTTCCAGGGCCTCGCAGTAAGACCCCCCAACCCCTGAGATCGAAGAAGTTAGGAGTGTCTTCTGGAGCCTCTGCAGTGGGACAAAACTGCGAAATTTGCACCCCATTCAAGCGAGTTAAGCTTTCCTGCGGGAAGGGAAAGGGCTGAGGTCTCGAGCGCACGGTCCAAGGGTGGTATTCCCCAGGAGGCGCGACCCGATTTCCCCGGGGGGTGCCGCGGGCGATCCTCGCTACCCCAAGCACCTTGAACAAGGCGCGCGTCCCCCGCCTGGCCCACTCACCGACTCCGCAGACACGCAGGCCACCAAGCCCAAGGTGAGTAGGATCCACGCGCGCCGCATATTCCCTGGGGACCGGCTTCTCTCGGCCGCCGCTTGCAACCGGGGGGAAATGGAGCCTCCTGCACAGCAATCGGCGCAGCCCGCGCACAGAGATCCGAAGCCAAGCAGCCGCAGCGAGATCCTCGAGGTCTTGGGGGTTCGGGGGCGCTCACTTCCTCCTCCTGCGCCTGCTCCTGCCGCCCGCGGCTGCGCCCCGAGAACGCTGAGCCTTCTCACTTGTTGGTTTCTGGACTCCCGACGCGGAGTTGTGGCTCTGGGGAGGCTGGTAGCTGGAGCTTTTTCAGCTGTTGTTTTATTCCTCCGCGGACTCCTTCTCCGGATCGCGGTGTAGTTTTTGATTTCAAGGAATAGATTCGCTGACTCGAAATACGGAGGGAGCTGAACTTTGGGGGCAGAGCGGTGGGGGCGCGCGGTCCGCCCGGCCTGAGCTCCCGGAGTATCTGGAGAGATGCGCCTCCGACCGGGGCTAGTGGCTCCGCGGCTGTGCCCCTCCTCCTCCCGCCACCGCCGCCTCCCTCCCCGGGTCCTCCTCCTCCTTTTCTCCCCCTGCCTGCTTCCCTCACTCCCGCCCTCCCTCCCTCCCTAGCCAGCTTCCCCAGGCTCTCCGGGTGTCTGGGTGAGAGGAGGCGGCAGTGTGACTCCCAGTTAAACCCGGGAGAAATTCCTACAGGATTACGCCCAGATTGGCAGCTCCGAGGACCAGTGGGCGCCGGCGGCTCCGCGCTGGCTGCTCTCGCTCTGCCAGTACGCAAAGCCTGGGCTCCCTTGCTGCTTGCTCCCTCTTTACCTTACTCTCCCTGCTTTTTTTTCTCTCTACCTCCACGCTCTTCTCTTCTGTGCCTCTTTTTTTCTTTTTCTTTTTCAGTTTCACTTCTCTCTCTAGAAAAATCGATGAAGGAAACGAGAGACATATTTCGCTCTCTGCCTGCGAGAATTAAACCTGCAGAAAGACAAACGCTTAAAGAGTTAAAAAAAAAAAAAGTTTACCAATGCTTTTAGGAATGTTAACCAAAAAACAAAGCCCATGGCCGTTGAGTTGATTCGGATCACAAGGTTCCTGTAAGAATAAAAGGCAGTAGAGCAGTGATCTTTACTATGAAGCCGACTTTATGACAATGGTGGATTTGAACTGCGTACCCACTGAGACACCTGAGCTCCTTGCCCCCATGGGAAACCGCCCTCTACCACACAGGGTTCACTGATTGGATAAATGTGTTGCCTGGACAAGTCGTATATCTGCTCTGAGTCTCCACTTCATCACCCATGAATTGAAAGGAAGAATATCTGTCACATAAAATCAATGAGAAGCCATCTAGAAAAATGGTACTCCTATATAGTAGGATCTCAAGGTGTGTAAATTCCCTCTCTGATCCTCTTCTTTTAATTATAGTATAAAGATCCAGTGGACTCCTGACAAGCAGGAACAATGGGTTGAATGTGTCATATGGGATATATTAGGGATATTAATCATACCAGCATATAGTGAGAGAAGTAGGATGTAGTCACAACACGTGAGAGAGTAGAAGGAGGAGTTTTCGTCAGCAGCATAGTGGGACCATCAGTGATGCTGCTGTGAGCCATGGCTGTATTAACAGAAGCGTTTTCTCAGAATTGAGGAAGGTGATTACCCCACATGTTCCAGTGTATCCACTTTGGAAATGTGATGTACATGTCCCAGTGACATGCTTTTAGTGAAAGCTCTATCAACTGGAATAACATTAGAAAAGCTAATGACAGCAGAGAATAGGTGCTAAAATCAGTGTTCTGGGAAATACTGAAAGAATTGAGGCAATGTTAAGTGTTCACAAATCATTAATTCATTAAAATTCTCTTTTAAATGAGAAGACTTTTATTAAATGTGTATTGAGTGTTTTCTACCTACCTCAGCCCCAGACATCCACCCATTCCCCACACTCCCATCTTCACCACCACCCCTGAAAAAGGAAAGTAGAAGGCTCCTATAAGCTCAAAATGCAACCATTTCAAAGCTCATAATTTCATTAAGGGCTTAAATGCCATTTCTACCTCACACACAGTGTAAGCCCCTAAGGCATTTTATAGGCTCCATTTCAGCATAGAGGTGTCAACATTTGGAAACTACAAATAGGGCAATTTAATGAGAAATTGGATAGAGACCCTGAATAATAACAGATGTAAGAGAACTTCAGAGAAAAGAGGGATAAAGTAATTTCTATTTTGAAGAAAACAATGAGCATGTATTTCCTGAATAGAAGTAATTGATATGAAATATTTTGTTATGAAGTTATTTTTTTCTTTCAATTCAACGCCTATGGTCTACAATATAATATGGCAAATGTATATTCCTTTCTAGTTGCTACCACCATCTTTCTCTGTGATTTATAATGAATTGTGAAACTATTCTGTTTCTGTAATACCCACTCCAGGAGACCAGGGACCTTTCTGTCTTGTTCACCCTGTAATCCCATTCTTGGCACATAAAAGACACACAATAAATATTTCTTGAATAGATTTTTCTCTAAAACTCAATCTATACTGAGTAAAAATTCTGAGCTTTTAAGATACATAGATATATGGTGGGGTGGTAGTGTGCCATTGAGTCAATTCTGACCCATAACAACCCTGTGTAGGGTTTCCAAGGCTATGAATCTTTATGGGAGCAGAAAGCCTCATTTTTCTCCCACAGAGCTGCTGGTAGATTCTAACTGCTGGCTTTGCAGTTAATAGCCCAATGCATAACCCACTATGCTACCAGGGTTCCTGTGTAAAATAAATAGATAACTAAAAAACTAGCAGTTAATTCATTGCCTCAACCCCGTGTGTTAAAGAGTAGAACTTTTCCTTGGCGGTTTCTTGGCTGTACTCTCTAGGATGTAGACTGACAGGCATTTCTTCTATGGTATGACTGGGTGGGTTTGAAACATTAACTGCGTGATTAGTAGTTGCATGCAAACTGCAAACTGATTATGTCATCCAATGACCTTCCATACAGATACTTATTGTTAAGTGCCATCGAGTTGGAGCTGACACATAGTGATTCTGTATAGGGGTTCTAAGGAACAGCTGGTGGGTTAGCACCGACCTTGTGGTTAGCAATCCAGTGCTTATCCTATAGCCCCACACCAAAACTCCATATAGACACTTTGTTGTTGTTCTTAAGTGTTGTGGAGTTGATTCTAACTTCTTGTTGTTGTTGTTAGGTGCCATCGAGTCAGTACCAACTCACAGCAACCCTATGCACAACCCTGGCCCAACCTCACAACCATTGCTACACCTGACCTGACCCCATCACTGCCACCACTGTGTCAATCCATCTTATTGGTGGTCTTTCTCTTTTTCTCCAACACTCCACTTTACCAAACATGATATCCTTCTCCAGTGACTGGGCCCTCCTGACAATATGCACAAAGTATGAGAGACGAAGTATAACGATCTTGGCTTCCAAGGAGCACTCTGGTTGCACTTCTTCCAACAGAGATCTGTTTGTTCTTTTGACAGTCCATAATACTTTCAATATTCTCCTCAAACACCATAACTTGAATGTATCAATTCTTCTAAGGTCTTCCTTATTCATTGACCAGCTTTCACATGCATGTGAGGTCACTGAAAATACCATGGCTTGGGTCAGGCCCACCTTAGTCCTCAAACTGACATCTTTCCTCTGAAACATTTTTAAGAGGTCTTATGCAGCAGATTTGCCTAATGCAGTATGTCGTTTGATGTCTTGACTGCTGCTTCCATGAATGTTGATGGTTGATCCAAGCAAAATGAAGTCTGACAACTTCAATCTTTTCTCTATTTATATGGATGTTGTTTATTGGTCCAGTGGCAAGGATTTTTGTTTTCTTTATATTGAGACACAAACCATACTGAAGGCTGTGGTCTTTGACTTTCATCAGTAAGTATTTTAAGTCCTCTAAGTAGCTCTTTTTGGTTCTTTTGGCAGCCCATGGCACTTTCAACATTCTCCTCCCAACACTATA